AGTTTTCAATTATTGCTAAGGTACTCTTTGGTTTTATTTTGTTTAAGGTGTCAGGTACAGGAACCTTGGTGAACAGAAAGACTACATAAAAGCTGACAAGTAAATCATCTGGAGACAGTGAGATGCCCTTGATTAGAGAGACCAAGTCAGCTGAATTACGTACTGCTGAGGTAGTCTTGCCCGTGAATGGAAGCAAGGTCTCAGACAGAAATCAGGCCAGTTTGTAGGTAGGTGAGTTGATAGTGGAAATGATGGGCCGAAGTGGAGTACATTTATGGATTTTTGGAAGACCATAGAATCTGGGTGGTCTACTAGCAGAGGATTTTAGGGAGAGCTGCTTGAATGGTTCGATTAAAGAAGGCGAATTGTTGATGATATTGTTGGTTTTTGTAGCCAGGCGGTTGGTAGGATCCTTGTTAATTTTGGTGTAACTGCCATCATTAAGAAGGTCCTGGATTTTGTTGTTATATGTGGTTTCATCCATGATGACAGTAGCATTGCCCTTGTTGGCTGACCGTTGTTATAACGCTGTGGACTTGCATGATATTGTTTTTTTCTGAGACCAAGGTACTCTGCAAACCTTCAGGCTACTATCAAAGGTTTGTTCATGATGCCATCCAGATATATAAACATAGACCCAACTTCAACCGAGAAGATGGATACAAATTTAACAATAATTGGAAGGATGTTATCAACCAGGTAATGCCTTAACTTGTTGTTGTTTCCATCATTACCTGCCGGTTTACTGCTAGCCCCGCCCACACCCCCCTATCCCCAACTTCATGTCCTCTATCTGTTCTTCCACCACCTTCCCACTTCCAGCCCCGTCCACTTTCCCCCCCCAGCCTCACGTCCTCTTCCCCGAGCGCTCACGCCCCCCCCCCTCCCCGTACTCCACACCCCCCTCTCTCTCCCCCCTTGCCTCCTCCCCCCTTTCTCACCTATATAACCTCTTGTCACGGCAGCTCTCCCGCCGACTTCAGCATTTTCTTGCTGTGGTTGTCCCACCTGATGAAGATCGCTTGTGTTGCGATCGAAACGTCATGATTTGTTTTATTTTATTTTATTTCTACCTACGTGACTTTACCGAAAGAACCAAAGAGTATGACTCCCTCTCCATATTTGACGCCTTTATACAATTGCAAATTTGTCTCCAATTCCTAATTCTCTAAGAGGTCAAATCCAGTTTTTAGTAGTTCCTGTGAGAAGAGATCAAAATCAATGAGAAATAATCACTTCACCAATTAGAATCATCACAATATCCTCACCGTTTAGCTGACGTGTATAGAGCACGTGCTTTGCTTTCCAGGTTTACTTTGAAAAATACAGTTATTTTTCAATGGTACACTTTCTGTGCACAAATAATAACTCAGCTCATTCGTCAATAACACTTTTCTCAAAGCAAAACAGCATAGAACTCAGTGTGTTAAGTTTTTGTATCTGATCAATGCAAGTTAATGCTCTGTTACATCAAAATAATAAGCATGCCTTCAAATGTGTCTCTCCACATTCAAAATCAAAGCATTTTTTACACATCCCATGGGCCACACACAACCTTCGGTCACACCTCCGATTAGCACGGTTGGCTAAGTACTGTGTAAAATAAGTTCAACATACATACATAGGTGTCATATGATCTTAATCCTTGTTTTACCCCTCCACGTGTAGCATGAAGAAGCTCACGCTCTTGAGCATGCTCCCTGTTGCGGCACTGCTGTCTGTGATCTTCGTGCTGCTCTTGTACAAATACTTGCACATTGCCAAGTTGCCGAGCGTGAAGTCCTTGGAATTTACCGGACAGCGGTGGTACGAGCAGTCGTTCCCGATGAACCTCTCGGACCACACTCAGTTGTTCCCTCACGACACAGAAGTCCACTACCGCCTCAAGCCCAGCGTGCAGCGGTGAGTCTCAGTGCCATAGCAAAGGGCGGTTGCGGGCAGGGCGGCTTTTTTTCCGATAAGGGGCACCACCCGAACGTGGAGCTGAATTCTTGCAAACGAAACAAGCAGTTGCGATTGGCCACACATTGGGGGTGATGGGAGGGTGGGAGAGGGGGGCTTGTGGCCAAAATGTCTAGCTAGAACTCGAGGCATTGTTGTCGTGGTGAAGCTTATACCTCCACTTAATCTCCGTGGAACAAACCGAAGTCAACACGTTATGCCGAGATGTCCTCTCACCTGGCAGTTATGGCAACATTCATTGTTATTGCTATGAAGTTTGTGCTTGTGAAAAGGCCCAATGATTAGTATCAGGGCGTTTATGGCTCCAGCTTTAGTGGGGTGACAAACTCCGCCTCTGGTTTCATAGTTTTATGTAACATGTGTAGGTGAACACTTAACAGGTGCGTTACAGTGTAATGCGTGGAGTAAACATTGCATACGGAGCAAAAAGAAAAATAAATAACATAGACGACAAAGAACCTGTTACTGTTACAATCATAACACTAACTTTTATTGCTGGTATCATGAATTCCAGCAATAAACAAAATATGATTTGGTACTGGAAATAAGATACAACATATGTTAACACTAGTGGATGTTAAACTACCAGAATGTATATACTTTAACACCAGTTTATGTTCGACTTCCAGCATTGTCATATGTTACGTGTGATTGTGTGCCACGTTGGTCAGACTGGACGACAGATTAGTGTTCCACCACGTGGATAGAATGCAAGCCCAATACTCTTCCGATAGTGGGCCAGCACTGAAGATGCATTATTTATTCAATCTAAATGTTAATAAACCACGTGAAAGTCACGTGCACCCGAAAACGAGGAGATGCAGCATGTTGTGCCAGGAAATTGGCAACATGGGTCCACTACTCGCTGGTGTAATGTTTGTATTGAGAAACGTAATTGTGGGAATCAGTCATCATGTTCCAGGTGGGTAATGGCATCGTGGTGGTGTGTAGGTTGCTGCCTTCTGGTTCGTGCTCCTGTGAGGGTCGGAACGCCCTACAGCTAGAGAAATGGTTCTCGCCCTCTGAAGTGGAAGGCACGCGCCAAAGGAGATGGAAGGAAATGCAAGAATTCTTACAGAGGTATGCTGCGATGTAACACCCCCCAAATCCCTCCATCCTGCCTGGTCTGGAGCTTGTATTTTCATTGTACTGATCAATTCTTCAAACGGCATTTTTCTGCTTCTAGATCTCTTTTCAATATTGTTTCTTCCAGAACTTTATCACTTTTTTTGTCAATTATTTGTATTGTACAACTTCCATGACAGGTGAGTGGTGCATTGTGGGATAGGCGGCTCGGACAGACGCCCAACACGGACGTGTAGCATTATGTGGTATGTGCGTCAGATCCCTTTTCTTTGGGGAAGGAAGGGGAAAGGAAGGGGAAAAGAGGGGGAGGAGGGGAGGGAAGTCGGTCTCATTTTACGTTCAATCAAATAAACTCAGGGTCTCTGGAGTGGCATTCACGAGGAGGCCCCAGATCTGGGTGAAATCTGCTTCCCTATTCCTCAGCTTCAGACTCAAGTGTTCTCAAGCTGCTAGGGCAAATAGGGAGTTATGCCAGAAGGTGAATTATGGGGCCCCGTGATTCTTCCAAGAGCTCAGGATTGTCTTTCTAACCGAAATGTTCGGGGAGCCAGATCGGGGCTTCCATAGCTTCCCTCCAATCTGGGTAGATATGGGGTAGGGGAGTCTCAAGTAGGAATTTCTCTATATGAGGGCTCGATGAAAGGTCTGACCGGTAAAGGTGCCAGTAGAAGCTGCAGAACTTCATATGAATCTCCGCTGCCCTCGTCCTGAGGCGCCCATTGGCATCCTTGATCCCAGCAATGTGGTTACGAGTTTGCTTGCGCTTGACCAGCTGGGCTATGAGCTTGGTCGTTGAGAGAGCTTGGTCGTGGAGGGAGAGCAGTCGTGAAACGGAATTTTGGTCCTCATAAATAGGGAGGTTTGGTCATTTAACACATTGTCTAGATCCAATTTTAGTCTATTGACATCCCCTTGGACCGCACGAGATTGTGTTGATTTGAAAAGGCGATGTTTCTCATTCAGTTTCTCCTCCATCTCTAGGATGGTACTAACCTTTTATTTCTTCCTTGAGGCCCCTTCTGAGATTAAATTGCCCCTGAGGGTAGCTTTAAGGGCATCCCAGACAGGGGGGGGGGGGAGGGGAGGATGTATGGGGGGCAACGCGAATTAACCGAAATTACCAAACCGACCGAAAAGGTTACAATCCCATACCAAAAAACAAAGCCCCTTGCACTCCCTTTACAGAGTGCTCTCCCAACACAAGAATCTAATCAAACTCTGCAATGAAAAATAATGGAGGTCTATGGCGGGTGGGGTAGTGGCGAGAAAGGTGAGTGGGATGGTGATGCGTGGGGTAAGAGAGGCCGTGATATGGGGAGAGGGGGTGAGTGAAGTTGTGTGGAGTTGCGGAGGTGGTGCGGGCGGGGGGACACGATGGGTGGATATCATGTTGGTCCCGAGGATCCACCAAGGCCCAAGCCTACCCTGTTTCCTGCTGCTCCTTTACCATCTATGATGTTTAGCGGATAAAGAGAGGGTTCAATTGTCTCTTTCTAGGACCCCCTCTTGTGGGTCTGACGTCGAGAGTAAAAAAGAAAAATATTAGTAAAAATAAAAAGGTGCTTCAAGTCACTTACATGCAGTGGTTGGTGAGGTCACTCGAAAGAGCAGCTCACTCTAGCATGACGTCACCGGAAGTGAATTTCATCACTTTTAAATAATTTGTACACTATCATCATGAAAACAAACTGTGGGTGCCACAGTGGTAACACCTGTGCCTCACAGCAAGGAAATCCTGGGTTCAATTCCAAGCTCGGGCACCTTTCTGCTTAGAGTTTGTATGTTCTCCTGCTTTCCTGCATGTGTTTTCTCTGAGTTCTGTGGTTTTCTTCCACGATTAGAAATGCACACAATATAACTGGTATTGGAGAAACATGCCAATGCTGAAAAAATATCTGCAAATTACTCAATTGGGATTAGATATAGCAACATTCCCCCGTACTGTACAAAAAACGTGCAAGGTTCCTCGCAATAAAACAAGTCTGAAGTGTCAACTAAAACAGCTATAGCATTTAGAATGAAGAGAGTAATGGTGAGGTGTGGCAACATCGGCCTTTTGTTGTACAAACATGAACAAAATAATGGCTATCATTTCAATTTCATTAGACTGTGTAGGTTTTTTGCGGCTATGCTGAATAGTTCTGCGTATTGTTTGGTATATCTAACACCATTGTGGGGGGGTTTGTGAAATGAAACCCATGAAGATTGCTAGTCCACTGCTGCACTAATGTGGCTACTCAAATCTATCCCCTGTTTATTTTATAGCTCTGTTTTTTTTAAATGTTGCAAATCAAGTCACTGGTCAAAACTTATAACTGTTGCAGGGGCGGCCCTAGACTAACTGACAGGCGCTCTCGGCGAAACATGCAATCGGCGCCCCCACCCCCAAACCCCAAGGGCAGATCTAGGCTGAGGTTTTTGGTAAACTGGTAAACATTTTGCCCCTATTTTCAGTTTCATGTTTTTAAGCGTATATTTTGAAATAGAGGCATAATTATTCGGTTTGTCCGTCTGTTCAACCAATACATTCTCAGAAATGTTGAGAAATTAATTATAATATCCCCTCTGTACCCGCACGGGAATTCAAAAAATGGCATTCGTTATTTTATTTGTAATTTTTACTCGAATTTGACGCCCTTCTTAACTTGGTGCCATAGGCGACCACCTAGTTCGCCTATGCGAACATGCCGCCCCTGTACTGTGCCATTCTGGGGTGGAGCAATTCAATATAAAGTAGTCAGGTTGATTGATGATCCAGCACTCACTAATACACTGCACTCACCAGTGGTCAGTCACCTCCTTATCACTCTTTTATCACTACTGCCATGGTTACTGTTCCCGTGAACTTCACTCATTAATATCTCCTCCCATGTTGAATACTCGGTCTACGAGATTGGCTGTTTTATTTAATCCATATATTGTGTTCAATCACCATCCTGGAGGTCATACCACTGCATTTTTCCTCGCACTACTCATCTGCGGAATTTCCTGCTGTTGTCTCTTTTCCGAAGCTCTTATCAACTTACTGAAACCAAGAAATGTATTCATGCTCGTCAATAGCAACACTGATAGTGCTGTTTGTTGCAGGCCGCAGCATTTTGTTCCTTTGGACCTATTGTCAGCAATTTGTAAAAAAACGATTTGTCCCCACAGGCAGGATCCTGTTCTGAAGAAGATCCTGGTGGCTCATCCCAACTCGCCACTCTCCTACCCGACCCAGGGACTGCAAGTGCCGCCAACAAAGACCATCCTTATACCGGGTGAGAGGTACGAAACACTACAAATAATTTAATGGGAACATGAAGAAAGTTTACGTAATTGTACAATTACCTGATAATCTTCATTGTCCACCGTGTTCAATTAAATGCTCGATGAAAGCCTCCCCAAGCCGCCTTAATAATGTAATATTTATATTTGGATAGTGACAATTCAGGAGCCGAGGTTGAGACTAAATATCGAGAAAACCAAGCTGTGACTGGACTATTTCTTGTGTTCATCGATGGCTGTTTGGTTTTTCTGAGCCCATGGACTCCCTTTCAATGAATATTGGGTTTGGGGATTTTGGAGTATCTCCAGGTGACCTTTTAGAACCGATAACCCCAAAAACTGAGCCAACCCACCACAATTAGTTGGTTAACCCTAAACCACCGACATAGCCAAACAAATCAAGTTGTCACTTCTTCTTTGGTTCTTTCGGTAAAGTCACTTGTACAGCATTTTAATTAGAAAATTATTATTTTGCTATTGTAATAGCTGAAATTAAATGAAATACAATATTCAAGAGAAGTTTGTCAAGAAAAGTTGACGTTTTGTGAATAAAAAATCCAAACTTGATTCTAGTTTTAGATATTCATTGCCGGTTTGGCAATCCATTTGAATCCAAAACCAACAATAACAGCGACTTCAACTAACAAACAAAGTACGGCTTTTGTACTCTTCTATGGATTCCTGGATTATCTAAACAATTGGGAAACTGCTTTATAGGAGTAATGTCACACCAAAAATATCCTTTTTTCACATCGGAGAAGTGTAGCATATTGTACTCAGTCCTGGGTTCTGACTGCCAAAATTGTAGATATCTGAGAAGCAGACACACTTCTAGTCATGAGGATTTAAGAATAAAAAAGGCAGTACATAAGTGTCAAACCGGAATTTCATAAATTGCAGGACACAATGAATATACATTTCACCTTGAATGGCATTATTGCAATCACAGTCAATTATTAATCATACTAACTTTTTGCATTGTGTCTATTTTTATCATCTTGTATTCCGTAGGTTTAAGTTTGTATGCAGATAAAAGAGACATATACACGGTCAGTACATATGTAGTAACTCCGACACATGTCCTTGTTTTACTAAGAGCCTTTATTGTGGACACCAACACTATTTTTATGCCTGGGCTTCGGTTCTTGATGCTCGAACTTCGTCTTCTCTCCAAGCCGCCTCTTCCCCTTGAGAATCGAATGAGAATCGAGTCAATTTCATTTTTAACTCATCTATTTGGACCCTTCTATGTCCAATTTCTAGACTTCATCTAGCAGTGACTGATAATTATCAGTGATTATAATCGCTTTTAATTATTTTGATGCGTGAGAAATAACCGGGATTTGTGGAGAAAGACCACACATATGTCAGCAAACTTGCTTATTTCAATGGAATCTGACACCGAGTTCAGCAAGTATGCTATTGCAAGGAATGGCACGAGATGAATGATCCATGCTGATTTATTTGAGATTGTTATACGTTTGCAATCGGAGCTGCACCAATTTCTGGGTTTTTGTTTCAGTGTTCCTGAGACAACGCTTCTCTGTCCCCCACAGGTGACGCTGTCCGCGAAGCTGGGGGTGCTGGACACGGTGGCGGAGGTGGGAGAGGTGACATTAGAGGGGCTGGGCGAGTCGCGCCTCTCCCTGAGCAGCCCCCACCTGGAGAACCTTAACCTGCAGCTGCGCACGGTCACGTACACCAACACGGTGTATCAGCCGGGCACCTCCGAGATGGGTATGGCGAGAAGCGACATGCCCAGCGTGATCGTCCAACCACGGCACCGTGGACCGCACGTGCCGGCACGCTCTGCTGACTTGAGCGCTGCTCTCTTTTCCGGTGTCTCTGTCCACAGTGCAGTTGGAGAGCGGGAAACACAGAGCTGACATACCGATCGTTGTAGCACACCAGACCTTGCCCAGGCTCTACGACCCAGGTTCTGGTGAGATTTGTTAAGGAAACATTACGATAAGTGAGCATGAATTACTGAATGTACTTGTGTAGTGTCTTCAAAAATTACTCACTCATGTTGTAACAAGTCACCTGCTTACACTTTATTCACCTATTCACCTATTCTTGCACCAGTTGTAGGCACTCCTATAACTATCTATGTGGTCACTTATGTTTAAATTCTCCCCACTCTTATCTACCTTCCACCTCACTAATCCTGCACTCAGCAGCTCTGTCCTCAGTGACTCCGCACACAGTGTCTCCGCACACATCGTCTCCGCACACAGCGTCTTTGCACACAGCGTCTCCGCACACAGCAACTCTACATCTCCATCGCTGCCCTCACCTATGCTCCCTCAGACCCGCTCACCCGTCTGTCCCCAGGCGGGGGGATCAGCCAACACCCACCTGGCGACGGCGTGAGGGTTGAGGTCCCGTTGACGGCTGGAGCGGCAGCGGCGAGATGTCTTCACTCTTGTTCCCGGCAACAACTCTCTCTCCGCTCACGCACACACCCTTATATCCCTCTGCTAATTATCCGAGACCTCTCGTGTGTCTCTTTAAGCTCTCGCCAGGCCGGCGCCTGTTGGCCCATCAATCAACCCTTATCTCCCGTCTCCCTGGCAACACCTTCGGTCACAACGTGCACAACCGGTCGAACCCGTTTGCACCTGCTTCGCCCCTTAACAACTGGCGATTTGTCTGTGCAACCTTCATGTTGCACATGCGCAACTGTTTTCCCTCAGTTGCCGTGGGTTAACTGTGCACACTGCGTATTTCACTCCTCGACACTTGTTACAGCCATTAAAACACGTTTTATCATGCTAACGTTTCAAATATATAATCAGGGCTGGGATTTACAGATAATTTTTTCTGGCCTGGCAGATGGTAAAATCAGCAATCTGGTGACGGTGGTGACCAAGACATTCTTGCGTTATGACAAGCTGAAGGGGCTCATCGCCAGCATCCGGAAATTCTACCCAGACATCACCATCATCGTGGCGGACGACTCTGAGCACATCGAGATGCTCCACGAGCCAGGCGTGGAGCAGTACATTATGCCTTATGGGAAGGTCAGCACCGATTTTCAATGCGCAGTCGGCTTTATTCATGAACTACGACAGCAAAATGTATTTAAAATGAATAGCCACCATTCCCTTCTCCAAAGTTCTCGATTTCCAGTGCACATATTCAAGTTGGGGATTCTATAAGGGTATAACGTTAGCACAATGGACTCGCAAACTAGAGGTCGGTGGTTCCATCGTCCAGCTCTGCAGTTGAAATAATGGTCAGGTTTCTTACATCCCTTTGCCTCTAGTCATCTAACAGGATAAATGGGTACACAACAATTGATTAGCAGTTCGTGTGTGGTAGGTTAAAGTGTGGGTACTTCTACTTCTTCCAATACGTCTTTACACCATGGAAGAGTCGGCCACAAAAATATGAAAAAAGAAAGTATATAGCACCTTTAATTTAATGATTTATCTTCATAAGGGACTTTCAAAAAAGTGCTGTACATGTGAACATGTCAACATTCCATAACATTTCGATTTAAAGCTTTCGTGACTGCAGGGATTCATCTTCTTGGTTCTTTCGGTAAAGTCACGTAGAATGGAAATAAAATAATAAAAATAAAACATAATAAAATAAAATTCTCACGACGTTTTGGCCACAACACAAGTGGCCTTCTTCAGGTGAAGAAACAGGTCTGTCCAGAAGACAGAGCTTGATGGTCCATTCTACGTGACTTTACCGAAAGAACCAAGAAGATGATTCCATAACATTTTTAAATATAGTCCAAGGCAATAGAGTGAAGGTAAACATATTGCACGAAGTCATTGGTCATTCCTCCAGAAATGATCGTATAGAAATTAGTTTGCAATCGTGATTTAAAAACATGTACAGTGCCCTTGTCACGGATATAGCTGGGGAGGACATACACAGTTGGGCAGCCACACAGCAGAGGGTCCGGTTCCCCTTGGAATAAAACATTGTCCTCGGGTTGTAGAGAAGACCAGAATGCATGGAATGCACAGGGCGAGATGGAACATAGCAATGCAATAGATCCCACAGTTAGGTGGGTGCAAGGCCATTCAGTCCGTTATAGGTAACACGATCTTAAAATGGATTCAAAGCTTCACTGAGATCCAATGCCAGACGAGGCGTGATACGTTCAGATGCAGCAGTTCTAGATAGAACGCGGGCTGCTGCATTCTGAACAAATTGCAGGCATGTCTGACAAGGGAGCACTGCAATAATTGATTCTCGTCAAGATGAATGCATATGTAGGGGTGTTGTCGGAAGGTAACACACAGTCACACCATGGTGGCTACAACCACGTCCGCTATAGCCCTGCCCTCAGTGGTGTATGGGTATAAAGGGCGGGGAGCCAGAGAGCTCGGGGCAGTGTGTTGGGGCCAATAATGAAGAACCAGTGAAGAAGGAAGGCCGGCTAGATAGACCCTGGGACTTCCCTGACTGCTGTCCTTTTGAGGGCCGGCAGGGTAAGCCGGTGGGTGCGGCCCCAGAGCCTCATAGCCAGAGCCCTTTTAAGGGTCGGTCTGGTTGGTGGGGTGCCGTGATCTGTGCTTTGACCAGGGCCAGATCAGATAGCCTCCTCTAGCGCCTGTAGCGGAGGAACTGGGAGTACAGGAATTAGGCTAGATAGCCTAGGGGATGTCCCAGCGTGTATACGGGTGAAGGGGCCGTTACCCCTTCCAGTGTAACCCTTGTTAAGCTTGAATAAACAGTGCTGCCTCTACTCCACCGTCTCCGTGTCCCGTGAACCCACTACACAAGAACCAATATCTCGTGCAGGCAACATTTATAAGATGAAAGTATGGTCTCTTAGTGACGCTTTTCACATGCGCTTCAAATGACAGAGCAGACTCAAGGATGACATCAAAGTTTTACTTTATGGATGATGAGCTGAAATTATGACCAACAAGAGAAACACCATTTCAAGCTCCCTGTAGTGGAGGCTTTTCTACCAGCTGTGGCATGAGCGAGCAATAATTGCAGGACTGATCCTATTAATTGTTTTATTGTCAAGTTCATGGAGATTAGGATAATTCACACAATAGAAAAATCCGATTCAATAAGCAGTGTCAAACATCGTCTCTTAAAGCTTCCACTCTGCGGTCCTATGTGCAGGGCTGGTTTGCTGGCAGGAACCTCGCCATCTCCCAGGTGATGACCAAGTACCTGCTGTGGGTGGATGACGACTTCCTCTTCTCGGAGAATACGAAGCTGGAACGCATGGTGGAGGTGCTGGAGAAGAGTTCCCTGGATGTGGTGCGTCTGCTTCGACTCACAGTGATGTGTGAAGGGTCACAGGGTCAAATGAACGCAACTTTGGTAATGATTGTGTTTTTTTACTGCGTTGGCAAGGTGGGTGGCGTTGTGAGCCAGAACGCCTTTCAGCACGTGTTCAAGGTGGTGCCTGGAGACTCGGATGGAGACTGCTTGCACCGCACGATGAGCACTTACCGTCGACTGGACGGCTTCCCGACCTGTTCCCTGGTAGACATGGTGGTGAACTTCTTCCTGGCACGCACCGAGAACATGCGCAGCGTCAGTTTCGATCCCCAGTTTAGTCGCATCGGTCACCCCGGTACGTACACTCTAGTGAACTAACATTCACGAGTGGTCATTGTCTATTCAAGTTCACTGCTGTGGAATGTTAATGTTGCCTTCATGTAAGAACTACTGAGATATGATGATCTGGATACCATTTAATCAATGTATAAGATGTGATTTTTCTTCGTTCATAAAAACTAATATTTCTGTTCATCACAGAATAAAATGTGCGTATTGTTGTACATATTACAACGAATGATCCAGGACCCTCAGTGTTCTGCTTGTACCTAGCATAGTTTTTTGTTGGGTCTTTTAATCCTTGTTTTCTTGTTCTTTTTATTTTTGTACTGACTATGCCCGAATATACTTTTGATTGTTTTTTTTTCTCAATCGAGAAATGTATTGCTTTTCCAGTTGGATGTGTGTATATAATTGTATTGTCTGGATTTTTACAATTGTGATTTTTTAAAATCAAATCTGCATTTCTCTATGGCTCGGCAATGATTTCATAGCTACAGTCAGTCCCACCATGAGACAGAAGCAGGAGGGGGAAGGGGAACAGGGAAAAAAACACAAGGCTCATTTACTTTTTTAGTCAATCATCCTCTGATATGTTCATTATAATGCAGAATACAGCAAAGTCGAAATCAGCGGGTACATCATATAAATAGGATTCCATATTAACCAATATATCATAAAGTGAACATTTTTCTGAAGTACAAGGGCCATATAACTTAAATTTTGACTTCAAACTTTCGTGACTGCAGGAATTCTTATTCTTTGGTTCATTCGGTAAAGTCACGTAGATAGAAAAATAATAAAAAAGAAAGTGAATACAAATAAAAAATAAAATAATAAAAAACAAAAAAACCACTCATGTAGACTGTAGCCTGGTTATTAAGGTTGGTGAGTGTACTGACAGTCTATAATGTAGGCTGTAGCAATGGTTCTTAAGCTGGGTGAGTGTACTGGCAGTCTATAATGTTGGCTGTAGCAATGGTTCTTAAGCTGGGTGAGTGTACTGGCAGTCTATAATGTAGGCTGTAGCAATGGTTCTTAAGCTGGGTGAGTGTACTGGCAGTCTATAATGTAGACTGTAGCCTGGCTACAGTCTACATTAGTGTTTTTTTGTTTTGTATTATTTTTATAATTTTTATTTTATTTTTATTCACTTTATTTTCTTATTATTTTTCTTCTTCTATCTACGTGACTTTACCGAAAGAACCAAAGAATATGAAGGCCATATAACTTGCTACATGGTCCATAGTAATAACGAATATATTGTTTTTTGATATAGAATCCTATATGCTGAACGTCTTAAGTGTGCATTGCATACGAAAAACTATTTAATCACATCTCATCTCAAACATTTCAAATGGCACCCCTAGTGGTAGCTGACCCTGTGTGCACAAGGTAACTTTCCGCCTGACCTGCAAATGGTCTGCCAGTATGGGGCGATGATTGCTGTGTGTAATACCAATTGGTAATTTTTTTTAAATTTGAAAAATATGACACCAAAACAATGGCCGACTTGGATCTTTAACATTCACTGGGAAGCAGATGGCGCATACACAGCATATCATGATTGTACACCCTCAGCAATAACCAGGGGTCCACCAGACTCAAACATTTGTAAACAAGTGGCGCACACTCTACTGGTGGATCATGTCACCATGCTGCACTCTTTACACTGAATTTGAGTGTTTTCTCCTCTTGGCGGTTGCTGAACAGAGTTTTTTATCGATGGCCTGGGGAAGCTGAGAGTGGGGACGTGCAGGGACATCTCCATCGACCACGCCCCCAAGAAGGGAAACATGGCACAGTACAACAGATACCGCCACGCCAAGGAAGCTCGCAGTCGTACGATGCGAGCCCTCTTCTTTAAGAATCACCTTATGTGTTACAGAACCTAACACATGCCTTCTGATGATGGTCACAAGGAATGGCATGACAATTTAGAGCAACATGGAGATTGATTTAAAGGAAATATTGTTCTGTTGATTATGATGCTGAATTACAAAATTAGTTTACTTATATTACGAGATCATACAACATTGTTTAGAACTCCTGTCATTTGTGATTGTACACTGTTGATAAGTTATTTGGCACATCTTGAGTAATTTAGAAAATGTACACAATGTTTCGTAGCTATTGTGGATATACATTTTATACAAGTTTAACAAAGTTGAATATAACTATTGCATAGTTTTCAAGCACTGTATTACATAATTCAGTTTGTACTGAAATGCAGTACGGTAAATGTATTGACTTGTGAGATAAGCCTCCAGCTCATCGCAAATTGTACCACAATTATGCATTGTTGAGTTATTTTAAATTTATGCCACTAGCAGGTATTTATTACTTTAATTGCGAATTTGAAATAAAAAATGTAATTGAGCCATGTTTTACTTTTAAATGTTACAGTATTTTTGGAATAATGTGGGCGAAAGGGAATACTTATCATTTGTTGTCTTACTACCTGGCTTATCCTGCTTTCTATATTCAGTACTATATATGTAGTTATGAAAAGCTTATGGAATAAAGTGATGTTAATTATTTTAACCACACTTGTTCCAAGATGGGGTCAATGCATATGTGATTGAATATTGTTCGTTAAATCAGAATCTTTTCGATAACTATGAGTGGGAAAGACAACATCCATTAGCATCTTAATATATTACCTTGCTTGTTTGAGGCTGAAATGTTGCCTGTTAATGTGTTTGTCACAGACTTTAACTTTCAACAAAGCGTGTATGAATTGAAAGCTTTTAATATGATTTCAAACTGAATACAGTACATACTCTTTGTTTTTTTCGGTAAAGTCACGTAGGTAGAAAAATAATACATCACGACGTTTCGATCGAACATAAGCAATCGTCATCAGGTGGGACAACCACAGCAAGAAAAACTGCTGTGGTTGTCCCACCTGATGACGATTTCTTGTGTTGTGATCGAAACGTCGTGATTTATTATTTTTCCACCTACATGACTTTACCGAAATAACCAAAGAGTATGGATTCCTGCAGACACGAAAGCTTTAAATCAAAATTTATAGGATTGTCATCTTTTTATAGAAGATTCCTGCCAGAATTTGCAATGATAACACGAGCCCATCATGCAGAAACATCTGAATTTTAAGTGGGGAGAAGAAGAGCAAAATGTATTGGACAAAATGAAAAACAGACTCATTCGGGCTCCAACTTTATCTTACCTAAAGCTGAAACATTTATATTGGACATGGATGTTACACGGCATAGGGGCAGTTTCATCTCAAGATAAGAAAGATAGGGGCATTAATATAAAAGCAGGCCACTGTCAAATACAGAGAGAACGTATCGTGGAAAAATATTTGATTTCATAATACAGTCTTTTGGGTTAGATCGCGAAAGTAGCTCTCAGAGACACTGTCTTGTTCAATTTTATATATATTTATTGTGAATGAAGTACACCGACTCACTGATAACTTAACGAGCAACCGTGAGTGACTATATATATGCCTGGATAACTTATGTGACTCTACGCTACGCTCCCTGTGTAGTTGGCTGGCTACACAGGAGTGGATGCGTAGTAGTCACGGAGGCAATATAACTCTAGCCTTTCAAGACTACAAGGTGCCCAATCCAAGATGATGAAGACGACCTGCTCCAAGATGACGACGGCGAGACAGCTCCTTGGTTCTCTCACAACAGCAGCCCTGAGCCCTGGGCTGCTGTTGTGTTCCATGCCGGCTTTTATCCCCCTCACGACCCGACCACGCCCCTTTTCCCGAACCCTGTCTCACCGCACCTGGCCCTGTCTGTCTCTGTCCCAATTACTATTTACGACCATTTAGGTCGAGTGCTTATCCTCACGCGACCCTGTCAGTGCCTGTCGCATCAATCATTTTAATGACCACTTAGGTCTCATGTTACCCATACGTGTTCCTGTCTGTTCCCGTCACGTTAATTTAGAACCACGGCCACGGGCAGCCGTACTGTGGAGCCGGACGTGTCGCTCCCCGCTAACATCGCATGGGCTAACTCTGTTCCTGCCTGAACCATCGCTAGTTCCATACTTACATTAGGGACTTGCAGGAATGGTTCCTGATCTCCCCTCAACAGTGTTAGCGGCCCCACGTTAAGCATTTGAATAAAAGGCTGACAGTCCCTGGAAATTAACGTCTGGGCACCCACAAGCAACATTCCCCGGGCCGCTTTGTTAGATGGTCCCAATACAATCCCCCCTGCGGTGGCCTCCCGATCAAGAGGCTTGCACGGCCGCAGGGGGACGAGCATCTGTGCCCCGGGGGGAATCGTGACTGTGTCGGTAACAAGCCCCAGAACAGACGCATTATTATTAAGCATCTTGGCGGTTGACGATAAAAACGCGATTCGCCTCCCAGAGGGAAATTCCAAACATTTCTGATCTGTAAAAATGTTGAGGGGCATCTTCCTGAGGAAATCTGTCCCTAACAAGCACGGCACCGCCAAAGAATCGGAGACCAATACAGGCCCTTCCAAAGTAATGTCCCCAATGGACACCTCCGCAACTATCTGTTCCAAAATTCTCAACAATCCCCCGTTAGCGGCGAAGTACAGAACAGAAACGGGGTGCAAAGAATGACACTCTCTTGGCAAAATGTTGAAAATCAATTCGGAAATCATGGTCGCGGAAGCTCCCGTATCGATGAGAACCCTCACCTCAACGTCCTGTATAGTACCGACGACCGTGGACGAGCCGGCGGTCGTGGCGACAACTCGATGGGCTAATTGCGACCACTGATCCGGCCCGAGCGGCCAACCCTCACCCAACGTGTAAGAACCCTTATGCGCCGCGACCCAATGAGAACGAACAACAACAGTGCACGGATCTACCCGAGCATGAGATGGGTGAGGTGGAAACGAGGGCCGAGTGTTTGGTGCACCACGACTCGCCTGGGGGCCCCATGAAGTCGATGGTGGCCGGGATGACAATGATGGCGGCCCGAAGCATCCGCGACGTGCAGCGCGGCACCCCGAGGCGATGTGTCCCGGCAGCCTGCAGTTGTAGCAGATGGCGCGGCTGGAACACGGACGGGGGAAGGTTCCTTGTGGACGGTCGCATCTTCCTTGCCGCTTCATATCGCGTCTCCGACCACCTCCGCCGTTGACAGCAGCACAAACCGGAACGTGCTCATCCTCTTCCAACTCCTCATGCAAACCCGCTGGTGCAGCACATGCCACCAGCCCCGTTCGTTTCTTCAACCCCAGGTGAGTCTGTATGCAACGAGCGATCATGAGGGATGACGGATCATCCTCCTCCGAGGCAGGTAGGGCAACATTCAGCTCCTTCACCAGCCCCAACAGTCTGTCTAAAACTAAAGAGTCAATGCCCACCACCTCCATCTTCGGAAATGCCTCCTGCGCCAGGGACAGCAGAGCGCTTCGGAAGGTGAGGGGCATCTCGGTCTCCCCCCGCCATCGTTCAACAAATCTGTTGCGTACACTGGACGGCGGATCGTAAAACTGTGGCTATCGCCTTGAATGCTTACGATAGCGTGGACTGCTACGCTGGCGGAATAGCGTAAAATGCCACCAAGGAGTCATCGTCAAGAGAGGTGGGGAGCGCCTTCAATGCTTCTTTCTCTGTTCACCCTGCCAACGTGTAGCTTGCAGTGAAGCGGCGTTTGAACGCCTCCCAATCCCCGCCAGCAGATGTTAATTTACGAACAAATGGGAGCCGGTGATGCAGCGCAGGAATGTCCCGCGGCGCACCTGGTGGGAGGGAGGAAATGGCAGGCCTCCCCACCGCGCGTTCCTGCCAAAATGGATGTCGCTCAGTCGGGCGGCGTGGCGGGAGAGTCACGTACTCAGACGGCGGCAGCAACGATATCGACGCCACGTGGCTCCAGGGTGATCTTCTCCGTCGACAGCTCTCCGGCGTCGAGTTTGGCGACCAACTCGGCTGCGGCGCCCAGCAACTGAGCAAGACGGGCGCTGGCAGTCCGACGAGTGTCGGACGGCGATTAATCTGCCGCCTGAGCCGCACAGCGCTGTTCTGCTAGCAGCGAAGACTCGGCGGAACCCTCCGGGGTTGCCATCCCTGGGGCTGTTGGAGGGATGAAGTCTCCATCGTCTTCTTCTCCTGAGGAATTCTTGGCAGGTTGCCTACGACGTGTGAGCATCCCGCCTCGCCCTAGGTAAGTTTAACCTAAAATTTGCCACTTCTGTCACAAAATGTAATGGTTCGATAGAGGCGCTTACACTCGTGTTGAGTCAAGCACTATTTATTGAACACAACTGAAATACAACTGCAACACAACTGCAACACACCCTAAACATAAGGTGGTGACCACTGTCCTACTCTCGCTAACACTCAGGTACTACTTGGCGTGGCCAAGCCAGGAGGACTTTTGCTTGGCCACGATTACTGGAGGCTTCTTTCTTCAGAGTCTTTATGAGACGGCTTCATTCCAGGAACTAGCAGCCCAGCTCTCCCCGCTGAGCCCGCTTACTTATGAGCCTCTCTGGCGTGGCCGGCCACACCCTGGCCTCCTCCTGGGTCTGGTCACGTGCCCAGCCGGGGTCACTCGGAGTGCCACAGCCTGATACAACCCCCGTGGCACCCATCAACAGCCTCCATACCGAACAGGCAGTGACATCACGTGTAGAGACCCAACATAGCAGTGACGTCATGTGTATACAGACCCGATACAGTAGTGACGTCATATGTCACTACAGGGGGTTTACTTTCCCGGCCATACCTCAAGAAACCAGGGAACATCCCGTGGAGGCATGAGGGGCCATCCCATATGCTACCAGGACCCCAGGGATATGTAGATCCAACTTTGTCTGCGCCTCATCTACTACTTGGCAAGCATCGACATCAGGGTTGTGTGGAGGCATAAAACCATGCCCTCTGTCTGAGGATGGTAAGGCGATGTCCGAATCTTTTTCGTCCCTAACCTGTCACATACCTCGCTTAACAGGGATCGCACTCAGCGCATTGCGCTCTGGACAACTTAGGGTTCTCCTCACACAACTTATCTATCCCTGCTTCGTCAGCTTCCACAGCATGCATCACATATCCAATACCCATCTCCGCGGTGGAGCCGAACGCGTCGCTCCCTTCTAACATCGCATGAGCTAACTCCGTTCTCGCTTGAACCTACACCGACTCACTGATAACTTAACGAGCAACCGTGAGTGACTATATATATACCTGGGTAACTTTTGTGACTACGCTACGCTCCCTGTGTAGTTGGCTGGCTACACAGGAGTGGATGCGTAGTAGTCACGAAGACAATATAACTCTAGCCTTTCAAGACTACAAGGTGCCCAATCCAAGATGATGAAGACGACCTGCTCTAAGATGACGACGGCAATGACAGCTCCTTGGTTCTCTCACAACAGCAGCCCTGAGCCCTGGGCTGCTGTTGTGTTCCATGCCAGCTTTTATCCCCCTCATGACCCGGCCACGCCCCTTTTCCCGAACCCTGTCTCACCGCACCTGGCCCTG